GCCCAAGGTAGGGGTAGCTAGCTTGCTAGAAGGCCAGCCTTGGGCATGGTAGCAATTTATTTTCTCCTCTCCCTACTATAATTTCTACCATATTCACTATGCCAATTGCCAATGTATTGCCTCTCAGCACCATATTCATAATTTGTTCCCTGATGTTTGAAAATGGACCTGGGCCTTTTAAGTATGTTTCCTTTTCCAGCTGATAGGATGTTAACTTAGGCTCTATCAGCAGAGGTTGGAAAACTATGGCCTGTGGGCCAAATCCAGCCAGCCACCTGTTCTTGTATGACTTGTGGGCACCACTCACATGGACTAGCCCTTTCAGCTGCAGAACACAAGACAGAATGTTCCCAACTCTAATTCACACTTCACTCCCAGCATATGTCTCCCTGGCCTGGGACCGTGCTTCACCACTCTCCGTGGCCCACTACTGCTCAACACCTACTCATTCCCCAGTCCTCCACTGGTGGCAACTACCAGGCACCACACTGGAATCTCAGTCCAGGAGTTAGTCGACAACTTGAAGAGTTACCTCACCTTCAGCCAGTTCCCCAAATTGACATGACTTGGCTCTCTGAGAGTTGAGAAAGGCATGTTGGGATCTGGGTGTTACTGAGGCAGAGAGTGAAACTGCACACACACCACCATCTACTAACCAGGTCCTTCTAGCTGGGGCTGATTGCTCTTTGTCCCAAGAATGTCTCCAGCTGATGGCAAATAGGGCACGCAGGCAAGAGTTTTATCTTTTGTTATCTAAGTACCTACGTAATACTTTCAATTTGCCTCTTGGCCCACAAAGCCCAAAATATTTACTATCTGGCCCTCTGCAGAAAATGTTTGCCAACTGTTGTCTTAGAGAATGTGCTTTTCTTATTCCACTGCTTGACCAGCCTACTTTTCTTCACTGCTAAGTGCCTGCAGGGCAATTTTCTCCAGCATTTCGTCAGTGCATTTTTTCCAGCTTCTGACTTGGGCAGGACTGATGTAGCCAGGAGCTGCAGAGAGCACACGTCTGTGCCCCAGCCCAGTGCTCCATATACCCTCTCCTCGGCCTCCAGGAGTGCACACATTGGTGACCCAACAGGAGTGTCCACTCACCGTTCATTGTACAGTAGCTCAGAAGCAATCTGGTCCAAGTCTGTTTCTTCCAACATTCTTTAAGCATTGCTTGCTCAAAGCTTTGATTAATGAGATGATGTGGCTGGTGTGGCAATTTCTCTTCATTAGGTGGAAGATGGAAAATAGGGATCCTTGCTGGGTTTACCTGTAAGGTGTAGAGAATTCTCATTCTGAACTTTTCCTTTGGTACACAATTTACCTTCTCATCTGTAATTGTGAATAATATTATCCACTTTTCAGCATATTTCAAAGAATTAGTGATAATTCACATGCAATACCTGCTGTGTAAGTCTTCAATAAATAGTAGCTCTTCTTTCCTAGATGGATCAAAGGCTGAGAAAAAGCCGTAAGAGCAGAGTTGGGTTAAAATTAAAAATTAGGTATGATTTTTCTAGTAATGGAAATTTTATTTTTAATATTTAGAATTGGAATTTTGAAGGAAAAATGGGGGTGGGTTGGTAGTTATGCAGTATAATTCCAAAATGTGTATTGTGAATTGGGAATGCAAATAAGGCTTCCTTTTGCTTGTATTCTTCAGCATGGGCATTTATTTGCATGCTTACTTAATTTGGTGAAAAGCAATTTTTAATTAGTGAATTTGGATCTTTGTGGAATTTTAGATTTTTAGAGGTTAGGATAGAAATAAGGCTCTCTGTAGGGGGTTATAGTACCAAATAATATTAAATTTGGCATGTAGGTCTGAGATGTTTTAATTCTCAGACTACAGTAAGATTTACATATATGTGATTAAGGATTGCTACTCTACAATTTTCTGTATTTCTGCTTTGATTTCATTTGCACAATATTCTGGGAGTTTGACAAGGGGTGGATGGCTAGGAATTACTATAGTAGAATTGAATGATGCCCAGAACGTAGTGTTATTGGGGAGTTGCTCCAAGCCTCATGTTGAAAGTATAATTCTTCATAGAAATAGGTTTTCAGATTAAGATTTAACTAACAGCAGTAGAATGGTTCTTAGAGGTCCCATATTGTGGGCTCATGAACAGACTTAATTATTACTAATGCTTGGATGAGAGGTTTAATTTGTATAGCAAACCTTTGTTGGGGTGGAAAAAAGAACTTGGGTAAGATTTTGGTAATACCACAGCCCATATTTCTCTCTTGCTATCATTTTGTGTGTGTGTGGATGGGGGTATAGATTTTATATTTATGGGGAGGGGTGTGTTACATAGGGTGTTTATAGAGTTTCTTAGGAGGGGTCAGGGAAACTAGATCTGCATATTTTCAGGCTAATTTCTGAGAAGTTTGTCTGGTCCTCCAGTCAGATCACCTGGATCTATATTCTCTGGACTCAATTCTGAACAATTGTGCTGAGGTGTAAATGGATGAATGCCCAATTGCCACACTGTCTCCATACTTTTAAGGAGTTTGGTGTTTTATTTTTGTATTCCTTTTTGTGAACCACTTTAGTCCTCCCCTAAACCATAAATGGACTGGTGGGCTTATTCGCTCCAGTGACTCTTGTGGGGTCATTTGCATTAAAGTGGAAGGCACATGGTAGTTCAGAAGAGGAAAAAGGTCTTAAGAATATGGAACAAAATAAAGAAGACAGTTACTTTTGGGAAAAAAGATCTAGCAGTTTAAGGTTTGTGGAGGAGCTGTAATAGATTGTTGAACAGGTTTCTGCCATTTATTTTGGGGAGAGAGAAATTGAATTAATGCAAGACAATTGAGTCAGAATCTTGGAGAACTCCTAGAATCTTGGAGCTGCAGGCCTGTGGATCAGTGAGGAGCAGTGAGATAAAAACTGAGGTTAGACTGGAGTGTGCTACTAAATTTTGCTGTGCTCTGGCATGGAGTTATCTTAAGTTAGAGCCGTATAACTGTTTAAGTAAGATTAATGAGGCCTCTGAGTTCTTAGAATTTAGTATAGTAATTAAAGGTTGCTAATTGTCTAAATCATCCAAGCTCCTCACAGAGACATGACTACCCTAGAGGAGCAGTATTGTCACCAAATGAGAGCAAAAAGATCTCGCTCTGCAACTTGAAGCAGAAGGATTTAGGGTAGACATTATTCCCAAGTATACTTTTTCCTCCTTTTCCTCTCCTCAACCCCTAAGGCTTCCAGAAATTAGGAGCTGTTATTCTTTCTTGCAACAGTGTGGTTCTTTCCTCTGTAGGTGACAACTTCTGGCTTATAATTATAAAGCATTAAAATTGGAAAGGATAGTTCAATCTTGTCTTCCTGGAGCTGGAGTTGATATTTCCTGATTAGGGGTATGATGCTGGTTTGCACTGACCCTTTTCCTAAAGAAATCATTTTTTCTGAGGTACCTTTTTCCTTTTGGGATGTCAGAAGAAGAGGGCTAAGCAAGTAGGTGTATTTCAGAAGAAGAAAAGAATTCTAAGGGATTTGCTTCTATGGAAAATGTTGCCAGCTGGCCTTCTTGGCCTCTGAGCCAGCTGAGTGGTAGTAGTTTTATTGCCTCTCATATTTTGTTATTTCTCTATTACTTACAGCTTATTTATACAGAAATCTATATACAAATGAGTGGTTATATATAAATGAAAAATGTTTGCTTTTCTTTTTTGCCCCAGGTATTTTTATTTTTTTCATATATATTTTTTTCTTTGCTTTCAGCCTCTTCCAAAGGTAAATTGGCCTCCTTTCTGATCACAGGCATATCAATAAAAATGGTTGTTTGATTTGGTCTTATCTTTCTTTCATAATGATACCATTATGTGCATCCAACCTATTTTTACCTAGAGCCAGCTGATTTCAAGGCCATACTTCACTTACTTTCCTCCTATTCTCAGAACAAAGAGTTTTGTCTCTTTTTCTCTGGTGGTTACCCCATCCTATGGCCACTGGCCTGTGCATTCAGGTCATATAGCCTGACCAAAAGACTACACAAATGGGAGAGTGACACATATGGTTCTTTCTTTCCATCTGGCTTCTCTTCATTGGTATAGTCTCTGTGCTGATGTGTTAGTCCCCTGCTCCTGGAGATCCTCAGCGTCACAGTACTCTGCCCTGATTTAAAGACTGGGAGAGGTACAGTGAGTACCTGTCAATACTCTTGATTCTCAGCTGAGATTATAGAGATAAACTTCCCCATGCTTTATGGTGGAGATATATAAGGGAAAAAGGTTCAACCTTGGAGAATAGGAAACCTAGCACAATACTTAGGAACTCAGACGTTAGAATTAAGTAAATGTAGGTTTGAATCCAAACTCTACCACCTACTGACCACTCACAGCAGTGTCATTGTTATTTTGTCCTTCACACCTAGGCTGTAACCCACCTTTCCAGTCTCTTGTCCTGCCACTTCCCTTCTCACTGTCTAGTTCCTCCCACCCCACACTTGTGTTTTAACCAGAAGGAACTACCTGGGAGTTTGTTAGGAAGTTCAAACTTCTGGACCCATCCCAGGACTAATGTAGTAGAATCTGCACTTTATGAAGTGTGCACATTAACGTTTAAGGAGCACTGGTCTAGGTTCTCCCTGGAATTTTGATTCCTGGAAGAAATTATGTCACAGTCCAGTCTGTGATGGCTAATATATGCAAATGTCCTCTGGAAAAGTATAGTATGCTGTGCAATTTGGAGTTTTCTTTGAATTGTTCCCAAACTGTCCTAAATAAGGAGTCCTTGAGCAAAAAGTTCCCTTGGTCCCCTTCATTTTCAACCCTTTGAGATTCATCCTGCTCCTTTCTCCTGATTTTCTGAGAGTTTCCCTCTGAATCCAGAGAAAGCGTCCTCTCCAGGGAGGAGCTTAAGCAGACTCAGTCAGATGCCTGCTTAGTGTTAGGTGCAGCATAGGACATAGACCTTCAAAGACTATATCTGGCTCTCAGGGACCTTTTTATTTAGTTGGAAAGATAAACATTCAGAATAAAATAATGTTTTGCTTTATTTGGGTAGCCCTTTGTCATATACCATCACCTCTGCTGAACCTTTGCAATAATTGTGTTGATAAGAAAGGATTATTAGCCTTTTGTGTTTGTTTTGTTTTATATTTTGCCTTTTTTTTTTAGATAAAGAAGCCAAACCCAATGATATTAAAGGATTTATCAATGTCATATGATGGCTGTTAAAGATTTAGGATATATATGAATGTCTTCCAGCTCCAAGTCCAGGTGGTTTTCCTTTTATAAACATTGTGCCACATTGTACTCTGTAATCCTGAACTAATTTAAAATAAAGAAAAAGCAGTTTATGATTGCAAAAGTAATTGTGTTAGTTAAGAGGTCAGAAATCCTTTGACTGAAAAAATCCAGAGAGGCTTCAGTGACAATGTATTTAGCAGGACTTTTAAAGATGAACAGGATTTATCTGGGCAGGGAAAGGTGATAGGTAAGCCAAGAAGAGGGACATGAGGCAGAAAAGTACAAAGTCTGTTTAAAGAATAATGATGACACCAGTATTCTTTGGCTGTTCGGATTCTGGATTCCAATCCAACTGAATGAGGCATCTTAACTTCCTAGGTGTGAGAATCATTATTTATGGTGGAAGGACCACAGGGGTTCCTTTCTTTGCTTCATACTCTTGAACAAAATCCACCGTTCAGTCAGGAAGACAAGACTGCAGGTATCGACTTGGTGGGCCCGAAGGTGGGAGTTCCCGGGCCAGGGTGTATAGACCCCCATGTTTACCTTGTGAGGACATTGCAATACTTGTTCTAGGTTAGTTGGGAGCAGCTTCTGCCACCTTAGGGAAATACGGGTAAATGGCGTGCAGAACCACAGAAAAATAGTGCACTTCAGAAAGCGTTCGAGTTCAAGACCAGTGAGAAGTGAACATAAGAGCGGGGAACAAAACCTGGAAGTTATAAAGGTGATTCTTAAGGATGAAAAGACGCCGAAGATGGGGACTGGTTTAGAACCTACCTGGGCATCAGCGGCCAGGCCCCTCCCTAGACCTGAACCTCCAGGCCGGCGCCTCTGTGACGTGGCTGGCCGGCCCTTGCCTGGGTGCCGGCCTGGAGGGCGGGGCCCAGAGCCGGCGGCGCCGCGGAGCCGGGAGCAGGGCCATGGTTCTGGTGGCGCAGCCTGCCGGCGGGTCCCAAAGCACTGAAATTAAAACCCAGCAGTCTAAGGAAAGAAGCCTTAGGGCACCGCCGAGACGGGGCCCGCGCTCCGTGCTCAAACTGTCCCTGCTGTTGCTCGAAGCCATCGCCGAGCACAAAAGGCTGACTCTGGCCGTCCTCAAGAAGGAGCTCGGAAACGCGGGCTACGACGTGCGCAGGACGCGCGGCCGGCCCTGCGGCGGGGCGCCCGGGAAGGCCGAGAAGGGCGCGCTCCTCCGGGTCAGCGGCGGGAACGCCGCCGGCTGCTTCAGGGTGTGTAAGATGCTGAAGCCGAAGAGAAAGCGGGGACACCCGAGGCTGCGGGAAGGCGCCCCATCTCACAGGAGGGCCCCTGGGGGGCCGCGGAGCCCGCGCCGCAGGGCGACCAGGAAAGCCTGGGAAGGGTGGAGACGCCACCCGAGAGCAAGGGCCGGGCTGAGGAGCGGAAGGCTCCGAGCCAGGGCTGCGGGGCACTCCAGAGCCAAGGAGGAAGCGAGGGCCAAGGTGATGGGCAAGGGGAGAGCCCGGAACAAGAAGGAGAAAGGCAGGCCTAGGACCCAAGACAGGAAGCCACGCTGGAGGGCCAGAGAAGAGAGGAAGCAGGACGCGGAGAAGCCGGTAAAACGGACCACCCACCACACAACCTCCATCAAAACTGACTGGACTTCCACTAGGCAGGCGAAGACTCGTGACTCAAGGGTCACTTGCACCAAGACCCACTAAATCTGAAGGTCCTGGGAATGCAGCCGGTAATCCATAGTATGGGAACAACTTCCCTTCCTCCAGGCACAGATGCCTTTACCCATAGGCTCCAAAGAGAGCCTCTCTCACATTCACTGGAATGGACAATACTATTCACAAGATCTTTCCACCACATTGTGTCTGTTTCGTCTTTGCACACCTGGAAGGGAAAGGGCGGGTATTGAAATGAGACCTGTAGCAGGGGCGACTGGTGGGTGAAGAAGGCAAAAGGAGTTGAGATTCTGTTCCTGCTGCAGAACCCAGGAAAGTACCTTTCCGGAAGAAAGAAGAAAACAGGTGGTAGAAGAGGAGCAGTGACTTCACAGGATTACACAGAGGTGTTGAATTAACGTTAGACACCCGAGCAAACCCAAATTAAGTTTTGAGAAGGAGAGCATATAAGGAGAGAAGTGGGGGCATCACTGGAACAAGAGATTACACAGCCTTTAACCTGAGTGGTCCCATTACTCCAAAGTGTCTTTGCCTAATACTCCTTTTAGGAAAAAGTCCCTTCCCCCAAAATTAATTGTTAAGGGGTTTGTAGTTTTTGCCCTGATCTGATAATCTACTTTAACTTTGAAAATGTTATATATGTTAGTGTTCGGTTAAGTAGAGTGTGTGTGAAAGCATCTACACAGGACTCAGCACTGTAGGTGCTCATTGCTGAGTCTAAATGCGAGTATAAATAATTAATGATATAGTGATAACATGCTCTAGCAGAAAACTTTACTGGATCAGTACTTAAGGAGACCAGGGTTCTAGTCAAAGCCCTGCCACTCTGACATAGCTGAGTTGTTACTTAGCCATTTATAGTCTTGGCTTCCTTCTCTATAAAAAGTTGGGATTGGCTAGGATGATTTTAAGTGATTTTTATGTCAGTAAAATGACAAGAAGGACTTAAATATCATTACAGATGCTTTGGTTGACAAAATTCAATAAGAGAATTTATCAACTGGGAAAGGACTAACTCCTGGAGAGGAAACTATTAAGATGTACAGCATATCAGATGGGAAAGGCCAGATAATGAATAGCTGGGTCTTTTGCTTAATAAAATGTATTGAGCACTATATACAAAATATGGAGCACATATATGATTCCTTTATTTATGAATGCAGGGATTAAGAACAGCGTGGGAGTAGTTTCAATGCCCTAAACATGACAGGGCACAGAAATGGTTCCTAGGGAAGTCAACATACCAGTAACTGATTGAGGGAAATGACCTGCTGTTTCCAGCTAAAGCCAGAGGAATGGGGGGAAAGGCAGTACCTAGAAGGTGCTTTTTATTCTTGAAAAGAGGTGAGAGTGAAGAATGACAGGAAGGTGTTAGGACACCCTGAGGAACTTTTTCAAAGTATAGCTGACCAAGCTTTTCCCAAAAAAGTTTGATTTCTCCTACAAGGGGGAACAGGATATGTATACTTTGGAAAAAAAAAAGAAGCTTAAGTGATGGTAATATTCACCCTCTTCCACCCTTAAATGGGAATCACTGCTTCATGCCTATGCAAAGCTAACAGCAATATGCTTGCAGTGTATCTCATCTATAGATAATCTGAACTTTGAGATTTCCCCCTGCTGTAATTAGGTTTACTGTTTGCTTGAATTGTCTGTGAGTGGCAGAATGAAGCAAAACAAACAGAATCCCAGAGTAGGTAGCCATCTGAAAAGAGTCAGTGAGAAACACTGTCTATTGAACACGATTAGAACCAAGTTCATCAAATGCCCCTATGATAGCCAGATGTATTGCCCCTTTATAGTTCTGGGATGTTTTTCCCTAAATGATGTTGTAGAATAGGATGATCCTAAATTAGAAAGGCTTTTCCCCTAAGATAGGGTGGCATGGGCACTAGCAACAGTTTTCTAGATTTCCTAAGAATCATCACACTTCTGTTTGTATTATGAGTTCTTCATTTGAATAAACTCCATTCATTCACTCAGTAAATGTATCACACTTCTGAAATGCCAGACCCTGACCTTACATAGCTAAGATCATTCAGATTCTTACATTCAGATTCTTTTTCCATAAGCTTTAAGGTGGCTGCACTCAGATGTAATATAAGAAATGACTTCAATTCATTGGCTCTCCAGATTATCTAGATCATAATGCTAGCTGGGTACTTCTGTGGAAGGAATTCTCAAGAATAGCTAATATCATCCCTAGTGTTCACTAATGACTAAGGGTCCAGAATATTGCAGACCGTTTGCTTGGAATAAACATGGATAAAACATAATCCCCACTTTTCAGTGCTCACATTCTAGTATAGTGTATTTGGTTATTTAACTTTAGTCAGAGCAAATGGAACATCCCTGACCTCAATTCTTTGCTTTCCTTTTATCTCAACAGCCTACTACAGTTTTCTGATGATCAGAAAATTATTGGACTTTGGAGTTGTAATGAACCTCTAGCATCAAATATTCAGTGGTTATTGAAAACAGTTAATAGAAATACAGCCTTTAAAAATATGAAAACCATGTAATTTTACTCATAAGAGAACTGTACACTAAAAATAGCATTTTTAATCCAAAATATTTTAAGAACTTACTCCACTGGTGAGGCAGAGGGGAAACAGGCACTCACATACAACGCTACTGAAAGTGTATGTCCATGCCCCATGTTTGGAATCTGGCTTTCAGAATTACAAATGCAAATATCCTTTGACCCAGCAGAACCACTTTTAGGAATTTATCTTTTAGATATTAATGCACTTGTGAAAAACTTATGTCCAAGGTATTTAGTGCAGTATTACAGTAACAAAAAAAAAAAATGAAATAATCTAATTATCACTAAGGAATCAAACTGTGAAACTTCCTTACAGTGAAATAGAATGAAGCTGTAAAAAGGGAGATTGTATATTGTTATTGACAAACTCCCCAAGATACATTAAATGAAAAAAACAAAAACAAAACTCAAGAGTATATAAGTATACCTTACTATCTTTTGTGTAAAATAAAGGAACTCTAGAAGGATATACACAAAAAAACTTTGGTGGTTCTCTATTGCGAAGAAAGGTGATGGGAACTGTAGAACATACACAGAAATGAGCCTCTTTACCATATCTTTTTTATATTGTAAGAATCATGTAAATTGTAACTTGTACAAGAATAAGGTAGAAATTTCCAAGTACTTGTCAATTTTAGATTTTTCATTTATAAGGTGGTTTGTACTTTTGCATGCATTATTTAATTTCACCTTCACCTCAGCCCCTTAGATCTTAAGTGAAAAACCTACTTTCTGAAAAGGTACAATTTTAGAAATTGACTTTTAATTGCAAATCCAGTGCTCTCTTTACTAGTTACAAATGTTGAATGGGGCCTTACTCATTACTCTATGAGACATCTTTTTTACATAAAGGCTAGAAGTTTATACTGAGTATTTTAATGATTTAGTGATTTCTTGTGGGGAAAGATATTCTCACATTGTGGGGAGTATAGTTTCAGAAAATGCAAACATCTCCATTTGTCAGTGGTCTCAAAGGAACAGATCTCTCCTGTTCCTCCTTCTCCTCCTCTAGGGAGCTCTAAGATGACAGGACTGTGTGGTTGGGTTGGAGTGCCTAGCAAGGACAGGAAAACAGGTTGGGAAGTTAATACAGGGGCACCTTGTCAGGAAAGAACTTCAAAAAAGAAAAAAAGCCAAAGGATTTGGAAGAGAGAAAATGAAGTTTGGGGTGGGGGTTGTCAGCATGAGGCCTTGGATGAGGTTGGGAAAGACACTGCGAGGAGAGTAAGAAGGAAATCAGGATTGCAGTAGTCCACTGGAGCTGGCTGAGAGACAGGGGTCTCATGAAGAGTCACAGCTGTGTATCTCCTCCCTCTTTCCTTACTTCCCTCTTCCCCGTTTTGGTTAAGGGAAAGATCAGACTTATCTAAAGTACTACTACAAATGGCTGATGGGAAGATAGAGTGCAAGAAAATAGGGAAACATGTGAAGCATGGAAGCAAGTGACAAAACAGCCTGACTTGTGTTTGGAAAGGTGCAGAGGCAGATTGTCCCCTAAAGTAGTAGGCTCAAAGCTCTTTAAGGGAACTCCCATGGAGGAAGAGCAAAGCATTTGGCTTTCAATCAGTGCCTGCAAAGCAGTTCCCTCTCCAGACCCCAGCAAAGCTTTAGGGGTAGGAGGCCATGTCAGTGGGTCAAAGGCTGGCAGTCCCTCCCATCTGTAAACACTTTCTCTGGCTCCCTCAAAGCTCCCCAATTATCTCCAATTATTGTGAATTTGCCTAGGTGTTCAATTAATAGTCACCACTATCACCCTGGGCTCCAGCCTGGGCTCAGCACAATAATGTTCTCCCAAGAGCAACGTAGGTACTTCAACCACCCCCAGACAGATGCCTCCAAATATATTCATGCTCTAGGCCCTCACTCATCTAACCCTAGGCCTGGCCCTGCTTAGTGGGTGGGGGAAGGTTGCGTTGAGTTCCTGGCTGACTAGGAATGGACATCTGGGAGCCAGGACACCAGGAGGCAGGGAAGCTTAATTTGTGGCATTTTGAGGTTATGTTTTAGAAGGGCAGTGAGGAGACTTGTACATGACTGCATGACTCCCCCACAAGGCTGTGTGGTGTCTCCAACTATGTTGCAGCCCTTTTTTAGGAGAGAAAAGCTAAGAATGGAGGAAGAGTAGAGGAGAGCATAGGGCTGAGAGGACATCACACAGCCAATATATTCTTTATTCAACTGACAGGGACCATAAAAAGGGTATTATAGATCCCTAAGCATACAGACGAAGATCCCCTGTTGGGTAATCCACAGGAAATTCACAGTCCATCAGAGGGAACCAAGTCAGACAACAGCTAGAAATCTGGAAGGCATGGAGCAATGGGGCTGGATGGCAAGTGGGCATATACCCCAAAAGCACCCAGAAAGAGGGCGCTTTGGTGTGCAGTGTTAGGTGTGGCAGGAAAGTGGTGCCAGGGAAGGGCTTGGCTGAGCAACATGCTAAGAACAGGAACCACAGTCACACATGATCTCCCAAGCCTGGAACAGCTAATGCCTGACGCATAGTAAGCATACAAAAAAATGGCTTGTAGAATTGAGACTGATTCTTGGAACCCACAAGAGACATGAGGGGATGAATAAATCAAAATAGAAAGTAGAAAACCACATCAAGAGAAGAAGTCTGTAGGGAATGGAGTGAAGGGCTTGGATTAAGTTTGGAGGTGAAGAGGTTGTATGAGGGAGAGAGAAGTAGTGGTGAGATAGCTGCTGACTGCATAGCCAAGCCAAAAGTCTGATGGAAGAAGTGGGAAGTGTGACAGTGGACCTGTGTAGCAGGCTTCAAGCTGACAGAAAAGAAACTGGACAATAGGCACAGAACAGGTAGTGAGTAAGCTCATGATGGGATGGAACGGGCCAGAAGCTCAAAGACAGAAACTATGGTGGAAGAAGGATAGGGATTGTGAAGAACAAAAACCCTGGGGAAGGTGTGGCATTCCCCAGGTAAAACAAAATACCAAACCAAATTAAACAAATTGAAAAAGAAGGAGTGAGCAGTGGAGGGATACTCCACTTACCGGGAAAATGGAGGTGGTGACTGGAAAATGAAAGAGGGCAGGAGCCTGAGGCCTGGAGTTGAAGAAAAGCATATCCAGGCTTCTCCACCTGGGGAACGGCTGATCACCTCCCCAAACACACTTAGATTCACTCTAAACGTTTGACCTGGGAGCTCCCCAGAAGGGCTGCTGATCTGTCAGTTCAGACTGTTCTTGTTGCTGTGCCTAGGAGAGAAGCTGGCCAGGTCCGGCTTAAAAATCCCTTGCGTGGCACATTGGTCTCCAGGGCAATTGTGAGGTTGGAAAACTTGGGTTGGACAGCTAGCCTTGCTCCTGTGCTGAATCCCCACCTCGCCTGCCTCTGGGCAACGTACTAGTTCTGGAATAGGACCAGGTAACTAGCAAAGGAAGACCATTTCCCTGAATGTCATTGTTTCAGTTTTATATTGGATTTCCCTTCTTTGAGGTGTCCACTCCTTTTTTTGTTATGAATCTTCAGTGCTCATTTTAGAAGCCCAGCCCCAACCAACCACAGCAGCTTGGTAGTTAGTTGCCCCACTAGTTTCTGAAACTGTTGACGAACCCAGTAACCACTGATTTAAGAGTGGGGGAAGGCCTTGGGACTCAGAAGAAGAAATAGAACCGAGGAGCAACTAGCCTGGAGAGGTTGCAGAAAATAAATCTGACAACAGGGGTGTGAAGATCCCTCCTCTCTCCATTTGAAGAGTATGAGGTACCACTGAGTAAAATGGAATTTGAATCTCCTAGCCAGTGGTTCTCAAGGTTTAGCACACATTAGACATCCTGGGGGCATCTTTAAAGACTGTTGGGCTCTACGCCCAGTTTCTGATTCAGTTTGTCTGGGATGGAGACCGGGAATTTTCATTTCTAAAACAAGTTCACAGGTGATATCAATGCCACATTTTCAGACCTACAGCACAATACAGCACTCTAGGAAATAGAAGATTGTGCCAGCTCAGGATCTCAAAGGAGTCTAAGGGAATAGATTCCACTTTTCTGTTATTGCCCAGCCGCACTATCCCGTCCAGTGCACCCATCTGAAGAAAAAGGGAAAGAAAGTGGCAGCTCTGGTTTTGAGTCAGGGCTCACCTTGCCCTTGATGAAAATAGGAAACCGTGGTTTGGTTGCAGGAGTGCTAGAAAGGGAATGTTTTTGTCCCAAATTATTAGCCTTTTAGCTCCCTGAAGGAATAACATCATTTTAACAAGGAAAAGCTTTTCTTTGCATTTCTACTATCAGAGCTAAGGCTTAAAATGTAAGTAGCTCTGGAAAAGCTAACACTTTGGGTTACAATCTCCAGTGTAAAGGATTCTTTCCAGATACATTGATGGGGTAGAAACAGGAGGATACTTGAGCCCTGAATAGGAGAGGTACAAAAGAGGGAAAAAAGTGACAGGTCTCTGAACTTCCCTATTTTACATTTTGCCTAGAGAGGACACAGAGACATTTTTCATTTAAAGGGATAGGGTAGATATATGGCAGAGGATGTTGGAAAGAAGATGGAGTTTGAAGCTGATTTCCTATGGGAAAAATCATTCAGATCTATTCACCCATCTGATGGCTGTTATTTTATTTTTTGTCCAAGGGAAGTGGTGTTGGACTGAGGTAGAGAAGACAGTAGTATACCAGACATGCCCTAATGAGTTGTTCCTTCTGCAGAAGGCCCTTAGACTCCACGATACCTTTCAGTTGGGTGCTATGACTGCACCTACACTTTGCAGGCTTCACTTTCTAACATTAACAATCACTAACACAGATCAATCTGGTTATTAAGAGGTGTGATCTGATAGCATGGGATCTTTAAACACCTCCCACAGGTCTTTAAAACAAGTTTGTGAGTAGCTGGATGTGTCAACATGTCATGTCCTTTTCTTAAAAAACACAGAATGTAAGCAATATCCTTCTAGTCATTAAAGACCAGACTCTATCCTTATACCCTGCCTCTGGTGTCTTAGTCCTTAAAATACTGAGTGATCCTTGCCTAAGCAATTCTTGAACAAATATATCACAACTATACTGGGTCAAGTACCTCCCTTTCTTTGACAGTTTAGTGATTCCATGGATACGCTCTGAACCTGCTAAAAGTATATGCAAAAGTAAGTAAATTTCTAATGTCTGTTTTTCTCAAAAGTAAGTTTGTTTTATCAGATTCTCAAAATGGTCTGTCACTCAAACAGGTTCTGAACCACTGCTTATATAGAACTGATCACATTAATCAATGAGGCATAGTGGGCGGGGGGGGGGGGGGGGCAAAAGAAATGGCACAGTATAGTTTTACCACTGGAATCTAATACAGTCCTGTTCCCTGGGGCATCTCCTAATACCAATCCTAAAATGCTCCTGTCTCTAGGGACTTAGGACAAAGCCACCTTACAACCGACTAGCCATTTTGCTCTATTCATAGGAATGTAAGCAAGAGAAGTGCATTCCAAAGAAGGAAGGCTTCTCTGAAGGGAGGTCGGGGCTGGATTGCTCAAGTCATAATGACTTTAGAAGCCCAGTCAACAAAATGACCCACTTTCAGCTTCAATTGGGTCCAGGAGTTTGAGGAGCTGTGAGTCCCCCAGTTTTACCTAAGCAAATGAACAGTCATTACACTAGACCATTGCGACTCACGTCCTCTTGCCTCTCTGGTTAATTCCTCCAATTGTAGTTGAGAAATACATGTGTTAAGGAAAAACCAGAATTTAAGCATTAAAGAGAAACTACACCACCTTTATCCTCTGTGTTCCTCTCCCTCCCTAACCCCAAACTGCTCTTACATACAAGATAAATCTTAAATTATAAGATTAGTATTAACACATCATCAATAAAGAGAAACATTGACCAAACTCATCAACTAACAGATGCTAGAATACTTATGCAAGTCCTGGAGTTAAGAGTCATAGTGTGTACACTTTCCCAGAACTGGGAGGAAAACTAACCAGAAAGCTCATTACACTACATCAGCTGAAAAACTAAACCATAGCCATTTCCCCTAAAGCTCTGTTTCTGGGAGAATGAGATTTTCAAGAACAACTCTGCCCCCTAATGAAGCAATTAAGGTCAAATCAGAGTGATGACAACAACTTGCAAACACTGATTCCTGCCCTAACTTCCCAGCACTTAAGACAAATACCCATTCAACAGAAAGCTTCTATTTGAAACGCTGATTTGTTTGAAATCAACAAGAAACAGCTCACTTCACTGACAATGTCTCTGTCTCCTCCCAGGCACAAAGAATCAGTGGCCCAGAAATTCAGACCTAGACTTTCACAGCTGTCTTGATTTCAGTGATACTGGGGAAGGCATTATATCTCTACTCCCACAACTTAACCCATCACTTAACCCTTTCCAGTAGGGCCTCCTTAATTGTTCAGCTTACTTCCTATCTTGACAAATCAAACAAAAAACCCCACTACCCTCATCCCCAGAACGCAGCTCCTAGAAAATCTATCTTGTACAGTTTGCACTTTGCATGCTCTCTTCAAGGACCCTGCACACACATACACATAGACACACAAAGACAGTCAAGAGAGGGGGATCTGTTCAGGGGGATCAACTTTTTTTTTTCTTCTGTGTGGGCCTAGGTTACTTGGGGATATAAGGACCATCTTTTAGCTTTCTGGTGTGATCTCTCAGCTGGATATATATATGTGCAGGATGAAGGGAGAAGGAATAAGGGGGTGAAAAGATTATTGTTTCTATTTTTCAGCAGGTGGGAGTAGAGATGTGGATGTATATTCAGCTGAGCAGGGTAAGAATGATGGACCCACACAGGAATGAGGTCTGTCCCTCAGCTTTCATTTGGTTAAAAAGGGGGGGCTCTGGGTGCCTAATCATTATCTCTTTCTTGTTTCCTCATTACTCTCTAGCCCAGTGGTTCACCAGAGTATGTTTCATGGAATCACCAGTTCTGTGCAATACAAGATAGAAAGAATATTAAGGTCAAATAAATTTAGGAAACACTGCATTTAAAGGGGCTTAACAATTTGCTCTACTGCAAAAGTTTTCAGAGCCTTTAATATGCTTATATGGTCTCTCTCTATATACATATAGAAAGAATATAATAGTTACAGTATACAAGGGTGATACTCAAAATATTTAACAATTGGTACAGCATGGGCACCACCCAATCGTACCAGAACTCAGCCATAAACTGCTGGCACCACTGTACCCTTGAGAATGGGCTCAGGCTGAATATCAGCCCATATAGAAGCACTGTTTCCCAAAAGTTTTGCCCACAGAACTTTTATGTGGTATCTCACAGAACTGGTGAGAAATGTCTGACCAATGCTGGAATCTCATCTTTCTAGGGCTCATGATTCTGGCCACTGGGGTACAGGAGAAGGGCAGCTCTGGCAGAGATGCCTGGTAGCACCAGCTGAAAGATGTGACCATAGTTGCAGCAGAAACAAATTTCAAAAGACAGATGTCCCTCTGTCCCAGCTGCTCCGGGCACTTTGTCCCTGGTGGGTCAGCAGGTGCCTGTCCAGGTGATGTTTGCGGCCAAAGCTCTTCTCACAGCGAGGGCACTGGAAGGGCTTTTCCCCAGTATGGGTCAGCCAGTGTCTCACCAGGTGGTGCCGTCGGCCAAAGCTCTTCCCACACTCAGTGCACACATGGCACTTTGGTACTGGTGGAGCACGCTGCCGTTTCCGAACCCCAGGGCTCTCTCCAACCTCTTGGCCCTTGCAGGACTTGCCTTCCACGTGCACTCTCTGGTGGCTGGCCAAGTGGGAGTTGCATCGGAAATTCTTACCGCACTCAGAGCATCTGCTGGGCTTGTCATGTAGGTGGGTTTTCTGGTGCCGGATCAGGTGATGTCTTCGCCCAAAGCTCTTCTCACACTTGAGGCAGCTGTAGGGCCTTTCCCCAGTGTGTGTTTGCTGGTGCCTGGCAAGGTGGGAGCCCCACACAAACTGTTTCCCACACTGGGGGCATGTGTGTGGTCTTAACAGGGAATCCATCTCTGTGCTACATAGGTTTGAGAAGCTATCTTCCTGAAGAAAAGGTGGGGCCAGAAGCATTCCTCTGGAACTCCTGGGCATGGAATCCCAGCTCTCATCCTGTTCTGGGTTCCAGAGAACAGTATCTTCAGACACACTAGACAACATTCTGGGAGGTTCTGCTTCTAGTTCAGGGGTATCTCCCTCGTGCTCACTTCCATCTCCTGTGAAGGGAAAATACCAACCCAAGATGGGAGTCACAGAGAGCACCCCACTCAAGTCACAGGTGAGGCTCTATGGTTCCCATAATGCCTTAAACCTCATCCCACAAGGGGTGAGAGAACAGATTCTAATGTGTGTAAGACACTGCAAGAGGTGTAAAGGTTAAAAGCCTAGGCTTAGGAGGCAGATTACCCAATTTTGAATCTCAGCTTTCCCACTTGACTTCTATAAGCCCTCATATCTTCTTCTGAAAAATGGGAATAATTGTAAGATAGATGTTGTAATATAGATAGCACAGTATAGTAGCTGCACATACTAAGCACTCAGTAAGTGGTCTGTGCTATTGTTATTGTTTATTACTATTACTTATTACCACTGTTTTTTACTATCAATCACCATCTTCTTGCCTAAGCATAAATGAAGAGAGTTAAGCAATATGCTGCACTCATCGCTGGCTGTTAGCAATACCAGAGACACTGTGGGAGGCACTTCTACAATGGGAGTGAGGTTGAACAATAACATCAACAATAACAACTGACATTTATTGAGCGCTTACTATGTGCCTGATATTGTTCTACTATGTTAACATATTTAAATCTCACAATAACTCACAGATGAGTAATGCAAAGTGAGGTTAATTAGTTTTCCAAGATCCCACAGGTATGGTCCCTAGATTCAAATCCACAAAGTCTGGCTCCAGAGCCTACCCTCTAAACTCTTCTGCTACACTGTCTTACTTCTGAAGGAGGAGATCTCTAAAGCTTTCAGCTCTGTCAGTCTCTGAGGCAGAGGAGTGATCAGAGGGACTTGTAATGATGACACTCCAAAAGGGATGAAGGCAGTGTCATCACTGTGGCTGAAAGTCTATTCTCAGTCCTTACCTGTATATGTGACTCTCAGGATGTCCCTCTCTTCTAAGTCCTGGGGGTCAGGGACCCATTGTTCTTCCCCTCCTTCTAGTTGAGAAAGCATGTCCAATTTGGGAATTGGAAATCCTGCTCATGGGAAAGGAAAGTAGAGATGTCAGTGAGTTCAACTCACTGAACTCATATAGAATTTCTGAAGAAAAAAAAAGCTATTCCCTAAATTATTCCCTGGAATTCTAGATAAAAGCAGCCAGATACAGACCTCTCTCTCTTCCTCCCTCCCATTTTTGTTTCCTCTTCGGTCTTCTAGAAAAACGCACTCTTCCCCAATGAATCTGTTCTCTGCCACTCAAATTTCAAACACTTCCCACCTTTCTGGTCATAACTTCAGTTAATTAGCCCTACTATAGCTGTCCCTACTCGCCACTCCCATCTTTCCCTCGAAGGTTTCTGAGTTTCCAAGGACTCAGTTCCATCTCTTAAATGTCCTTCTCTCTGCTTTTTAAGAACCTCTCAATTTCCAACTAAGAAGAGCCTAGCGTTCTCTTCTCCATAATTCACCATTATTTTGCTGTTTTTTTTTTTTTTTAAATGATGCCTCACTTCCATTCTCTTTGAATTAGCCCTTAGTGCTCTTTCTCTGCTGGAAAAGTAGACAGATTTCCTGCCAAGGAAAGAACCCTACACAGATACTATCCAACAGCCCTAGGGCAGATGGCTTCATCCTCCCAGAGTGCAATCTTTCATAGTGGCTGGGAAAGGTCATGCTTACTTAGAGAGACCACTATTCCACAGTTTTCCTGCATGACATATTCTCCATAAAAGTCTGTCTGAGAAGGGTCCAGGCTCCGCCATTCCTCCTGAGAGAAGCACAGGGACACATCCTTGATTGTTACCAGGCCCTGAAATGAAATGTGGCATCTGTTAGTATTGTTCCTAAAGAAAAAATGTGGTCTCAATATAAAAGGCTGAGGTAGTAGAGGAGAGAGGGCAAAAGAGGATCTAAAGAACCTCCCAGAGATCCCTGGGTAGGGCACATAGTTTGGGGAAGAGGAAAACTGGAGATGGGTAAAGAAAATGATTCCTGAACAGGTGAGGACAGCGTCTCTAGAGGAGCTCCCCCAAGTAGGGCGTGAGAAGCGGAGGCCCCCACACTCAGTGCTCTCTCCATGCGGCTACAGGGAGCTGCCCAGTCCCTTCTCACCTGCCTCATCTTCACTGCAGAAGTTGTGTACTAGTTCCTCATCCCTCCACTTGACCTTTCCTTTTCTATACGTAGAACTTTTCTTTATCTGTATCACAAAATGATACAGATAAAAACATTCTTTCTTGCCCTTCCCCCCACCATGCCAATCTTTTGAGGAAGCTTATTACAGTGTGGTCAGCTCTGATTCTGGAACCAAATGACTCCTATTTCTGCCACTTACTAGCAGTGTAGTCCCACACAAGTGCCTGACCTGTAAAATGAGGATAATTCAGTTTTCTAGGGTTAAATGAGTTACTACACATAAGCAGTCAGAGAAACAGCAAGCATGGTAAGCCCTCTGGGAGTGTAGCTACAACTACTGCTGCTATTACCTTTCCATGGCTCTCCTACGCCTTCTAGTCTTTCTATATTCTCTACTCTTCCATAAATACTCTATTATCTACCTAATCCTGTCTACTTTATGTTTTTCCAAGCTTCCTTCAGCTCTTTTCCTAATATTTCTAGATTTCTTAAAGGATATTAATGAATTGTTCTTAAAATCCCCCTGTGGAGAGCACAGCTATCCATCAAAAAAACTATAACCTCTAGAAATTCTCTTCTTCCTATTTTGCCTCCATTTATTTTGTCAAGGGCATTGTGAGCCCTTTGGAAAGAGATAGAATCTGTTCAGTTACAAGATGGACATATCATTAGTGATCAGGTGAAGTAAATCAATGGGATGGTGCTAAGGCTACAGAAGGCAGCAGGAATGAGACTCCAGGAGAAGCCAAGGGAAACACAAAGCCCACCTGTGATCCGGCTGCGAGAAGAGCAGCTGCCATCTCCCAATCTCCAGTGCTCCCCTCCTGGGTAATGGCAGGAACCCAGGGAGCTGACTGAGCTGGTGAGGGGAGAAGGGCACCATTAGAGATGGACCATCCACCCTTTTACAGTAAGAGCCTGGGCCCCATTTTAGAGGGGTTTAAGGGTCACGTTTTTTCCTGTATCTATGCCCACTGGTAAAACTCAGATGCACAGAGAACTTCACTCAAAACGTTCTGCAAGCGTACTGAGTAGTTTTTGGTGAGCTTTTATGTCATCCATCTTTACTAGACGAGCTGTGGTTTGAATTTACATTATCTGAATGAAATAAAGTGCATCTAACTGGGTGTGTTCTCCAACAGTAATCAGTGTTGCTGTCATTTCCTTTGTCTCCCACATTCAGAACCACTAACCATGCACTTGCAGTTTGTGGAGTGATTATGCAAGGAATAGGAGAAGCTCAGTTACATGGCCTGTAGAATCTAGAAGCTTCTAATATTCCTGTGATCCAGAATCCAAGAAGAATGGAATGGTCCTGCTATTGGTTATGATGTCCAATCCATGACAATCTGGTGATTTTTAACTCTTACTTTTGGGAAAATAGATTAGGAGACTACTCTTTGCATTGTGCTTCCCACATGCATACCCTCTGGGCTCTCACCTTTCTCCTGAAGGGGCTGTGGCTCCTCTTCAAGGTCGCAGCATAGGTGCTCCAGTGGCCCTGGTGTTGTTCTCCGTGGCCCCTCTTCCTGGCTTCCCCTTTCCACCCGGGGCTCTGCTCCATCCAGCTGGACATTCATTGACTCCCATCCTGTCCCCAGGGCTGCTGTCTGTTCTGAAAGCATTTTTGCTACAAACCCAAATTGTTACCTGCAACAAATTCACATCAGCTGTGCCCTCTGAAAATGGAAAGGGTGATATTCTTAACAGAGTTATAGAAAACAGCCCCAGGGATAAAAGATGAAACTGGATAAGAAGAGCTTGATGGAAGATGAACTTTAAAAGCTTGATGTGCTCCAGTCAACTGAGTCTAAGCCAAGCTTCATGGAGGAACTAGAAATGAGCAGGTGCTACACAGCAAAGTCACTAATGGTTATTTTGGGGACCTCATGGTAGAAATAGAATATCCCTGAAGGCTGAAAGAACTTCAGTTTCTTTTCTTAAAAAGGAACAATCCTGGGAAGTTAAAAGCTATCCATTTAATTTCACTGGAAATACAATAAAATAAGCACTCTAGAAACATGCAGGAAGGAATGCACACAGACTTGTACTCAACAAAAATTGATATAATCACTGTTAAGTTTCTCTGCCACAAATCCCTTTCTCTTTAATTAGTTTAGAATGCAATAATTACTATAGTAGTCCCAGCCAAAGGGGTGTCACAAGCACCCACCTCCTTTATGAGGCTAAACCAGGACAAGCCTCAACAAAGAAACATATGACCTGTCACTCTGGTGTAGAAAACAAGAACTGGTAGTAAATATGGTAGAAAGACCAATGACTTGGAAAGCAGGTGTAAGATTCCAAAGCAACCCTAAGATACAAGAGAAATTGTTGGTCAGTGAGAAGCTGATGTCTAATTGGGAAAAGTAAAAAAATGAAAAACAGAAAGGGTTTGACCCAAAGGTGGATCAAGAGGAAACAGTTGCTTTTAACTTGACTCTGGGTTGAATTAACAGCCCTGTGATTTGAGACATTGGAAAGAACCAATCAGATCTCATTAAAAAAATATATTCCATTTTAAAGAAGAGTTTAGAGAAGCCAGTGTGTGTTCCATCAGAAGAAACAAAAGTGAAGAAAGGGATAAGAAATACAGTCATTGGGGAAAAGCTAAATACGATGGAAATAGTTTTCTCTTTTCCAGGAGAAAATGTTGATGAATGAAGCATGAAGACAGATGATTTGGCTGCAAATGGAGAGATTTAGGTTAGATTTAAAAAATCTTAACAATAATCCTGCAGTGCACAGGACCAGGTTGTGGGCTCTTCTTTCTTGGACATACTAGAATCAGGACAGGTCCCATGTGTTGTGATAGGGGCCCCCTGCCTTTTGGCAGAAAAATAGTCTATACAACTTCCAAAAGTCCCTTTCTGCTTGCAACATCATATTTTTGTGATTTGTATTCAATAGCCAGTAAGTCAGAGCCAGTGAAAGGCCTCCCAAAACAAGTCAGAACCTTGGTAATTATCCTGACTCACCCACATCCATCCAGTAACACTGCAAGACCCCAGAAGGCCCAGAATAGGTGATGCCAGATATCAAGGTGTTTATATTCTTGCCTATTTGTCTTTGACAAAAGAGGTAGGTGGAAATCCTAAGCCCAATGCACAGGAATCCCCTTTCATCCCAGACATCCACAGAAGTCCCAGGGCCCCATGGGATCATTCTGGACTGATTCCCAACTTAGGAGATTTCCTTCTCAGAGATGTCTCATGAGAAAGGAAAATTCCCAATAAAGCAACAAAGCGAAACTTCCATTTTAACTCTCCTTTGAATTCCAGCTCCTGTATTCACTTCACTTTTAACATATAAGGCCCTGATTCCCCCTCTTCACCTAAAGTGTTCGTTGTTCTCCATCTCCCTTTGCAAATCTTCCCTCAGGGCTTTATCTTTACCTACATATCTGGTCATCTGTTTCAAACCATTTCTCCATCTCCCCAACAGCAGAGTCCCTTGATAGGCGGCCTCCTACTGCAGAGCCCCACTGGACAGATAACCTGTGGAAGTGCTGGGAAAAACTCAGCAAGGTACTTGCCCTTAGACTGCATTTCCTTAGATGTTCACTTTCTCAGAGCCAGCGTGGTGGTGAAGGTGGCAGCCCTAACCAGGTTTCTGCCGGCTCCAGGATGATCCCGGGCCTGCTGGAGTCTGGGTTTAGGGCTTTCATTTTGCCCCTTTCCTCACACATCTCGGGGGCAAGGCACTTGCTGAAGGAAGTTTCTGCAGCCAGAGCTGCTGGACAGAGAAAGAATGATCGAAAAGAGCAGCCCAAGGGCACGGGGACGAGCGACGCGGTCAGAGAACCCTGCCCTCCGTCCCGGGTGGGGCGTGGGCGGGGCCGGGGCCGGCGCCTGCTCTGGAGTAAGGTTGCTCCTTCCCTTCTAGTCACAGTGCCCCTCCAGAGTCCTATTTCAGAGAATCCGAAAGAGGCAGAGCAGGAGCGGGGGAAGTGAGGTCAGAAAACAGGTTTCTCGTGAACTGGGGCAAGTGAAGAGAAAGGAGCCATTGGCGTAACCTGTGCGCGAGTGACAGCGGCGGAAACTCGCGGGGCCTGACAGCGGCGACGGGAACGAGGGGCACAGGGCGAGGGGCGGGCACAGAGCGTCACTGGTGCCGACCCTGGTCCTGACAGCGACCCAGCGGCCGCGCCGATCCTCCTCCCCGACCCCATGGGTGACCGGCTCCGCCCGCCGCCCCGGGAAGCCAGGCGTCCCTCCCTCCAGCCGCGACTCTCCGGCCGGCCCCACTCACCCCGGTCGGCCTGGCCCGAGGCCCGTGCCTCCCTCTAGGCGCCAGCCCCCCCCGCTCCGCCCTCCGCTTCCTCGGAGCCGGCGGCCGCGAAGCCAGAGACGGGCGGAGACAGCGGCCGGGCGGGCGCGGGCGGGGCGGACACAGGAAATCCCCGCCCGCTTCCGGGGCTCGGCGGCCGCGGCGGCGCGGGGCGGGTCGGGGGAGGGGGAGGGGGAGGGGGAGGGGAGAGGGGTTGGGGGAGGGGGGGAGGGGAGAGGGGTGGGCCCGTAGCCCGGGCCCGTAGCCCCGGCCGGCGAGCTCGGTACCTGGGCGCCCGCCGCCCCGTCGACGCCGCGGGCCCAGGCGGCGGGATCGCACCGGCCCCGGCCCGCGCCCTCGGGTCTGACCGCTTTCCTCCCGGCCCCTCGGCCTCCCAGGGTCTCCTGCACACGGGTTTCTTAAATACCAGGGCAGTTAGTAACCGCTCGCTCTATGCCAGTCGCTGCCAGAGCGGTTTCTTGCGACAACAAATTCCTCAAGGAGCTTACGTTCTAGGTTTCAAGGTATCAGGATATGGGGCTTAAGACGACAAGGAGGAGGAGTCACCAATTCTGAACCAGAGTCAGGTTGACTTCACCGAGACGGTGCTGTGGGATGTAGGCCTTGCAGCGCGTTGTCCAACCTACGGGAGCCACGAGCTGCATGTCCCTGCTGGGCGCTCACACGTGGCTAGTCCTAGTAGAGGTGTGTTGTAACATAACACACCAGGTTTAGAACACTTAGTTAACGAAAAATCTCCAACAAGCAGTATTGTGGATATATTGTGTTAAATATATTATTAAAACAACTTCACCTACTTATTTTTCACTTTTTAAGTATGACTACTAAATTGTTTAAATCATATATGTGACTTGCATTACATTTCTATTGGACAAAGCTACCTCGAAGCTTTAAGATGAATTTGCCTGGAAAAGGTGAGACGGGCCTACAATACAGAACGCACAACGCGGCACCATTAGAGTCTGTTCATAATCTACAGATCACGTTATACCACCAGCACAACAATTCTGTAAAGTTTTATAGACTTAAAAAATAAATGAGTCACTAAGGTTACAGGTGCCAATCATTCACTGAATATATGTTTATTTGCCAGGCACCATAACTAAGTGCTGTAATTTAAGATCCCAAAAGAACTGTCTGTATATTCAAGGACTCAAGTCTGTTACATTAACAAATATTTGCAGTAAATGTAATAGATGCTAAAATAGAATATCCTCTGCCATAGGAATAAATAAGTGAACATATATGGGAGGGAGATCAGAGAAGGCTCACTGAAGTCTTGAGGCAGGAAAGAGTGGGGAGGTCTCCATAATGAGAAAGAGGAGAATGTGCTGGACATGCAGTTGGGAAAGGGTCTAAAGCACATTCTGTAAAGAATCATATGGTATGTGGGGGGAGTGGTAGAGCCAGGATTTTTCTCTCAGATCCTGGAATGAAAAAGGGGTTCTTTTTCTTTTCATTTACATTACCTCTGGTGACAAGGACAAGGTATGTTAATCAGAGTAGACTGACAACCAGTATCATAGTGGAAAAGGCTTATGTTCCATGTGTAGAGTTGGGTGGGGACAGTGGGTAGAATGTCTCCTCCTGGTAATCATGGAAGGACCAGGCTTTTATCTTGTGTACCTGTCAACCCCTGTTGCCTTGAAATTATTTGACTACAGGCCTCAGATAAAGGGGGAGAGCTGTGGCTGACTTGTTGGAGATATCAGGTGCCAGTTCTGAAAATGCACCATTTTTACCCCATTCCCTTAGCTAGAATTCAGGTGGGTGGGTGATCACATGGCTCCATCTAACTGCGGGGGGTGCTGGAAAGTAAAGTGTTTGTGCCTAGTAGAAAAGGAAATGGGGTTTGATAAGGTGGTACCTTACCTTTCATAGTAATATATGGACAAGTCCAAACTCCTATATAATGTTACAAGGTAGAGTAATATGCAGTAAGTAGCAAGCAGATGATTCCATCTTTTTAAGACTTCGTAGTGGAAGAGTTGTAAGATCAGCTTTGAAGGCAAAGTGTAGATAGAATCAGAAGGTGGAAATAGACATGCTGTGGGATGAAGAACACACAGACATAGGGGTCTGCAGTAGAGAAGAAATGGAATGGAAAAAGTGACAGAAAGAGTAGAGTAGGGTCAAGGATTTTTTATTTGTCATGTCAAATAATAGGGAGTCACCATATTTAGTGTTATAAGGAAGTGATATACCTAATGGGTCTAATTATATCATTCTAAGGATACTTGGTGATATGGAGCCACCCTGTTGATAGAGTTCAGAACAACAGCATAGAATGAGCTGGGCCCATAGCCAGATTCTAGTATGTAGAATATAGAGTTTCTTAGGATACAGCAGTGTTCTTCCTGGGACTCTCAGACATTTAAGGTTCCAAGTTCTCTGTAGGACTTCAAAAGACCTTAAGTCTCGTTCTTTTGCCTACCAGTCTTGACTTCATTTCTGAACTCTTGCTCAGCTGTGGTTTGAATAAGAAAGTACAATGCAGGTGTTCACCAGTTTAGGATTATGTTACAAAAGTTATTTTATATGTTGATTGCAATGAATGATTAGCTTGGCTTATAAAAGCCTAATTCATCCATAATGAAACCATGCCTTCAATTGCTAATTAGAACCTACCCACCATTTATGACAATGCTTTCCTTGTCAAAAGTTTTGAAGCTTGATGTGAGAGATGAGTTTTTTACCAACATGGCAGTGAAAACATTTGCTTCCTCTTTGTCCATGACTATAAAGGAAAGAGGAAGGTTAAGGGAAGTCTCAGGTTAGGACTCCTGTGGAAAGGGTAAGGCTCCCCCAGTGAGTAGTTAATAATTATAACTAGCATTTGTAGAACAGTTTACAATTTTCAAAGTGATTCCATGTACCTGTGATCTTCACAACTCAGGGGCATAAATTATCTTTATCACTAGTTACGGTTAAGGAAATAGTGGTTCAGGCATTTAAAACTGTAGAGTCTCCACTTTTTATTTCTATAATCCTGGGAAAATTTATGTATATAAACCTGTTTCCTAATCAATAAAATGAATGTCATTATACCTACTTTGTAGAGTTGTGAAGGATAAATGAGATGATGTAAATAAGCAAGTTAATACATAAGAAGAATTTAATAAATGATAAGACCTAGGAATTGAAGCTAGATAGGTGATGGACAGTGCAATGGCAGGATGAAAGGTAAATTTTATTCCTGAATCTCAGTGACATAGACAAACTGGTTGGAAAGTAGTGATCTGAAGATACAGGCAGCAGAGTAGGGTGCTTGAATTGGAGATTAGGGAGGGGTTGAGGCTGTTGGTAATAATTAGGTTTAGGTTTAGGTATAGGATATGACTGTGAGAGTGAATGGCTGAGGTAGTGGACAAAATCATTTAAGGTAGGAGAAAGTCAAGGGAACTGAGAGGCTACAATGTCAGCAGGGATGGTATTTAAAGTATTTTACCAGTGCCAGCATGGGCACAGATCCATGTAAATGAAGATAGCATATAGCATTGGTGCAAGGTCTTGGAGGCACCAGTGGCTATGAAAATATTTCAGTATTTTAATAATCATAGTTGTGCAACTTTAGCCACAGCATAGATTCATTGTCCACATGGATACTGAAGTCACCAGGAATGATTATGCGGTTATGGGAGTGTAAAAGCAAGCCGGTTAAGGAAGCCTTTAATGAAAGGAGAATGACCAGGAGTATGGTAGGTGATAATAACAAGGAAGGGTAGTGTATGGAGTGGTCTGATGGCATGTGCTTCAAAGAAGCAGAACAATATTGAGGGAGGAGGAAAGGAAATGGTACTTGAGGCAGCAATGAAAGGCAAAGAAAACACTCCACTTCCAATCCTAGGAGGTGTAAAGCAGTGGCTTTCAAATATACATACACACATATGATGCTGGGTTTCTTGTTTGCGGAGTTGAAGAATGAACTTCGCAAACACTCAAGGTAGGAGAGCAAGTGAGAGGCTTTTATTAAGAGATAAAGTGAGGGACAGAGCTCCAGGCTCATGCCAGGTGAGGGGGACAAGAGAGTCCTGTGGTGGTGCACTGTCTAGGGGTTTTATACGCAGTTGAGAGACAAAGGACTAGGCATACACACCTGCTAAATCAACCCAAAATGTTTATCTTTGAAGAGACATTAAGTTTGTTATTAGTCTTACTGATTATTTACAAGAAATTTCTTGCTCTGGCTTTCTCCCAGGATAGCAGCTTCCTGGTCTGGGAGCATATCAATCAAGACTGCCTGCTTTGCTCCCATGGTGGACTGAGTTATTGTCCTGTTTGTTAAAGGGTATGTTAAAAAAACTTACTTTTTAACTAATTGGAATTTAAAATGCAATCTTATCTTCAAGATAGAATCTTTACTGTTTTTACTATGTTGTTTTGGGCTTCCTTGTTAAATTTCCCAGGTTGAAAATCACTTTAATAGGGCTGGAGGAAGAAAAGCAGCACCTGGGTAAAGTCAGAAAAATAAGCTGGGCCTCCCCAGCAGGCCAACATAAATCTCACAATGGATTATCTAGCATTGTTTTTTCTGGAGGCCCTCACCCTACTCTGTCTAAGCCCATGGTCCCTGTCCCACATATATATATGTGTATCTGTGCATATATATATGTACATATATATATATTTGAAATATATATACATATATATTTGAAAGACATCATTTACATAATTGAAACAAAACTTTCATGATATACCTTAACTACATGCAGTATATGCTGACAGTTTCTATTCTGTTCATTTTAAAAGTCTTCTATATACTACCCACTAAATTGATTTCACAACCCACTAACAGGTTTCACTTTACTCTTTGGAAAGTATCAGTATGCAAATCGTAGTAGAGAAAATAGCTACCCTTTAAAAGGACTGCAAGGGGAGTGGGCTTTGTCCTCAAGGGATAGCCAGGTTTCAGTCAGATAAAGGAGGTGAAAGAAACATCAATCAG